TGCTGAACACACCAGATTAATCTTGCTATTTTTGGAAGGGCCTAATTTCTTCTTTCACTTGTTTTTTAGTTACCTACGAATATGCTGCTTTTGTGCTTTGACTGTTCTCTTGCAAGACGCCCCGGCTCCCCAGGCAATATCTAAACTCATTGTGGCTTCTGTTTATGGGGATATTTTCAAGCTGGTGACAGTTTAATGTTCTGTAACGTTGACTTCGTGATGGCTTGCATGAAGATCACCGGGAAAAGGGGAGCTATAGAAATATCTCTCATGGAAATGAAACTACGATTTTTATCGTTAGCTTGTTAAGGAAACTTGGAGCTTTTGGAAGGTGACTGGTTGCGTGTGTGTGCTTATTGTTTAGGAGAAGGGGGTGACAGTGTGTCTTCTGCCTGCTAGTAGTATCTGCATATCCCAGTTTGAACTGAGAGCACCAGTGCTGAATCTTAAGAGACTTTTGTCTTGCTGTTCATTCAGTCTGTGCCTTATTAGTTGGGTTTGCTGGTAAGTGAGCATCATCTTTTTTGTGTTCATTTGTCTTTCACTGAGAGGAGGGAAAGGAGGGTGCGTGGGAGGTTACTCCTCCTGTTTTGAATCTTATACCTGAGCTGCAGTGATAGTTTATTGTTGGCCTCCCATGTGTAAGTGAATGCACTTTTTTGTTTAAACCATATAGTTATTTACTGATATTGCATGTTGTCTGACCACATGGTTCATACAAGTGGGGCACAGCTGTTCAAGTAAGCGGTTTTTTCCTCTAATGAGTTTTTAATTTTACATGGCTACGACTCTACAGGAGGTGGAGTTAGATTCCCTCAGTTTATACAGTATGTTGTTAACTAGCGGAAACAACTGATACTGGAACTAGAACCTGGATCTGCTGTATCTACAGATGGCTTGATTATCTTTCTCTTTTCTGTGTACTAAAGTTTGCTCTTGAGACTTCATCTCGTACATCTACAGCGTGAAAGACTTGAACAAACAGTACTGAAAATGTTGAAGCTTTTACCCATAGACTTAGTCTGATAGTCTAGTGAAAATGTGGAAAAAATCCATTTCCTCATAAAGCTGTCTCACTAGTTGGGTAATAGCAGAGTTTCAGTGTAATCCTGTTCTCACTTTGCTCTGTATGATTCTTTTTTTTTTTTTTTTAATATTGCCATCTATGCTCTCAACTTTGTGTTTAAATCATACTGTCAAGCATGGTTGATATGATGGTAATCCTGCCTCCCTAGGTTATGTCAGAGACACGTAAGTGCTCCATGATTGCTTGGAATGCATGTCAGTGGTGGTGGCTGTGCTGCAGGAACATGGTGACTTAAGCCTCCCTGCTGCATCAGCCAGCTCAGGACGTGCTCATGAGTCATGATGTTACGTGATCGATCGTTTTCCCCTGTGGTTTGGTGCTCCGTCCATCTCTGGAATCTTTCTCAGTACAGAGCGACTGCTTCCTGACAAAGATGACAAGTAAAACCTCCACGGATTGACGTGTTCCCATACCCCCACAATAAGATGCAGCTAGCTGTTACTCCCTGCCTGTTGAGAACCAAATGTATACAGCTGGTTTGTCCTGTTGGCCCGGGGCGTTCTATTTGTGGCTCCAGATAAGAGCTGATAAAATAATAAAGAGCTGAAAATGGTGTGGCCTGTCGCACAGAAGGTGAGCTCTGCCGGCCTCCCGATAGGCAAAGAATCTCAGGCAGTCAGC